ACTATAAGCTAATATCTTATTTCGAAAACCGGGGCTAATACTGAAGGCTCTTTAATATTTTGAAAACTTATATTGAGACTTACGTCTCTAACTGATACTCAGAACTGAATGTGATTTTGAACATTCTAAAACTGATTATGATATTAAACAGAAAAAACCTCACCGCAACTAGTACCCTGGGGGAAAAATCTGTCATACCTGGCGGACCACTCAACGCCCAGGCAGAGCCAATAAAATCTGTCATACCCGGCAAGATCTATCATCGCCAGGGCAGAGCCATGAAACTGTCATACCTGGCGGACCACTCAACGCCAAGGCAGAGCCAATAAAATCTGTCATACCTGGTGGACTACTCAACGTCCAGGCAGAGCCAATAAAATCTGTCATACCCGGCAAGATCTATCATCGCACGGGCAGAGCCACTAAAACTGTCATACCTGGCGGACCACTCAACGCCCAGGCAGAGCACTAAATATCTCATACGCATGCGCAGAGCCTGAAGACCAATTATCTCAATACCCAGCGGAATCCTGCATGCATGGGCAGAGCCTGAAGACCAAATTCTCAATACCCAGCGGAATCCTGCATCGCGTGGGCAGAGCCTGAAAACTGGGATGGGTACTTCATAGGGGGGTTTAGCACCATAACAATCCATGCATAATCTCAACTAACATGTAAGTCAAGAACATACCACATATGTGCTTATAACATGCATATATGACATAATATTCAAAAATCACATCCAGGGGTGAAACTAAAATTTCCAAACATGTTTTAAAACTGACAGTTTAACCCAGATTAAAAATACTTTCAATATCACATTTCCATAGCATATGTCCATCACTAATCATAAGATAAATACCACATTTCATATAAAAGTAAATCATGCCAATCGTTGAAATTCCATGCAAAGGGGGTAGAATGCAAGTTTTAAAACATACTTTCAAAACTGACAGAATGCACCCTTCTCTTTTCTTTTTACCAAGAAACCATCTACCAACATCACGATCCTCAACCCGTATACAATTCAACCAATTCTTTACTCTCAACAGCAACATTTTATTCATATAGATGAATACATATAAATTCTATATACCAACTTCATCAAAACATTTAAAATAAAATCACAAGTTAACATGCAAGCATGGATTTAAGGATTTGGAAGAAGATTTGGTTTAATCCACTCACAAAATCAAGCTATAATTTCAATGGGGCATTCAAGACAAATATAGTTGACCAGTAATATTTTCAAGTCATTTCAGATCAATAACTATTTAAAACACAATTTCTTTCAACTCATTTCATTTTTCCTTCAATACCATTTCAACAGCCAACAACTGTCACCACCCATGAAATCAACATTTCCAAATTTAATATATTTTCCAAATTGAGGAAAATCCACCAATGGCACATCGAAATCAACATGATGGAGAAGCGATTTAAATTAATAAACTAAGGAAAAATCACATGTAATTTTATGAGGGTAATTACCAAAATTAATCAAATATGGCAACATGCAAACTTACATTTTTGACTATTCTGAACAGGTTAACCCTTCCTTCAACCACTCTTCAAGCAAAATATTAACTCATCTCTCCAGTAACCCACCTTTATGGTTTATACATTATTTAAATAGCATGAACATGAAAACTCAACCTTGGGAACGAGGTTAATGCTTTTTCACCAAAAATTAGCTCAGCCGAAACATGCAAAGCAAGATTCACCAAATGATCACACTTAACACAAAAATTACTTCAATCATTGAAATAGCATTAAATTAACATGCAAAGGCTTTCATTAAGTTTGAAAAGAATACAGGTGAACCCACTCACCATTTTTTTAGCTCAACCGAAACTTTGAACGGAAACTCAAGCACTCTCTTCCTCCACACCTGAAATAAAAAATGGTGGGATCTGCGGCAATATCCATAATTCTCATCCTCATCTTTGCTTCACTCTTCCTCTCTCACTCTATCTCTAGACCGAAAAACCTCTTTCTCTGTTCTCTTCTTCTTCTTCCGCTCTCCTTCCTTCTTTTCTCTCTCCTTCTCTACCTGTTGGGTCTTCTTCTGTCTCGGCTTCTTCTTCTCCTTTGGGCGAACAACTCTTTTCTTTTTTTTCTTTTTTTTTTTTTATATTTAATCTTTCTAAATTTATGCTTCTGCCCCTAGATTAAGGTAATCCCGCTAAACCCCTACCACATCAGCTTTTCTTTAAATAAACTCCAGATTTTGCCCCTTGCACATGCAAACCCAGCAGTTCCTTTTTACCATCATCCCCAATAAAACTTTTAAAAACTACAAAAATCCCCTTCCATAAAAATAAAATCAAAAGAATACGCAATATGTATAGGATTAAAAACGGGGTTTCACAAAAAGCATCTTGATTGTTGATTTTCACAGTTAAAAGAACCGTTAATAACTTTAATTTTACGTCAGCTTAGATGACACAATATTTATTCCATAGACGCAGGGAACCATAAGGGGGAATTTTCAACTAAAAAAATAAAAATTAGTGATATGTGGTAATAGTATATATTTTAGACCATCTATTCAAAAGAAATATATTCTTTTCAATACTTGCTTAGTTAAGCTGTGATAATAGGCATATATTTTGGATCATCTATTCAAAGTGTAATATTATACTTAAACCCAATCTCTTGATCTCTCTATAATCGTGATGTGGTAGTTCGCAATTAGTCAACTTACAAATGGGTCTCACCTATCATTTAAAACGACAATTATGAAATGTCATTGGTGTTGTAAGATAAAGTTTGTAAAATTAAGTTGTAAGCCAATCTTTATCCCTATTCAAAAGAATTATATTCTTTTCACATAACTTAACACGTATATATTCTTTTCATAGAACTTAAAATGTACGATACCATTCCTACTAACAGTGAATATAGCTTTAGTCACGTTCGTTCTATCACGTTGTTATATTACTTTTCATAGTAGATTGAAGCTTGGTGCAACCAATAGTTTGATGTTCATTCTAATAAGAGTTTATAATATCTATCTTCATTAGCGGATTCACCATATTGTTTCTCATTTTCTTTTTTCTGAAAAACTTAGGCTGTTTCCATGACAAACATGTACCACTTAATAATTGCTTCTCTTGGGTTCATGTTTGACGTACTTTGGTCTATTTTTTTTTTTTTTTTTTTTTTTTTTTTTTTGTAAGTAAGTAATATCATTAAAAGAGAGACAAAATGAACGGAGAGGCCATAGAAAAACCGATCATCCTACCTTAGGATATGCCTTGAGATAGGAATAAAAACATAAGCTCAATAGACTTATAACCTAATCTCCTCTTTTTGGTCTATTTTAAGCATCGAAGTGATAAGAGATAAGAGGAGAGGAGCAAGCAAAGAAACACAAAGACAAAGACATCTTACCATATGCCCTAGGATAAGATAAAAAAAAAACCTAAATGAGACTAAGAACAACAGTACACAACATCATTCTTACCTTAGGATAAGCCTTGGGTTAGGAAAACCCATGTTCGTCACACTGATATCTTTAATATTATTATTAAGAATTGCATGGGCTTCTTAATTAGTTATGAAGAAACCATAAACGATAATATTCAACAAGAAGTCTTCCATTAGAAAGATAAGAAGCGATGCAACTCTTCAAATATATTTTTTAACTGTTTTTAGCTAATCTCATTTTAAATAATGCTTTCAGAAAAAAAATATGACATAAAAACATATATTGACGAGGAGCCTAGATAGTCTAGAGGCAAATGGCTGGGATATGTTTTCCTTTGATGATCGCTTTAACGTTTGAACAGAAAGATGTTGTTGGCATGGATTATCTTTGCTACACAAAAGATTTGCTGCAAATTTCACTCGCAAAGGCACCTATCTGAAAACTAATAAAAAAAAACTAACTAACTAACTAAATGGAATTTATTCTGATGATTGTTTAGTCATTGACGAAATTGAATCCTAAGGACTTTTAAAAGGTAAAGTAAAACTAACTAACTAAATCACATGTTTAAATTTTTAACGATAACATGGGATGCCATAATAGATTCCATTTGTTTAAGTTTTTAGAATAGTACGTATTCTATTCTAAATAGGATTTAATTACATTGGATAGGAATCTAAGAATGTGTTTGGTACATTTTTAGAAAATATTTAAATTATTTTTAACCCCCTATATTTTTTAATTTAACTAAATATCCCCATAATAAAAGTTTATAAATTAATAAAAACACTCCCACCCATCCAACTATTGTTGGTAGCCGGCCACTACCATCAGACGGTGGCTGGAATGGTGCACAATCGGTTGGATCTGGTCGATCGTGCATTTATTTAGCCTTTTTCGACTAGATCCACCATGGATCTAGTTAGAAACAGCTAGATCAACAACCAAATATTTAGCTAGATTTGGTTGTTGATGGCCAAATTTCTAGCCGTTGTTTGACTGTTGTGAACTGCTAGATCTTTGACCGTAGATTTGGTTATTTTTAACCAGATCCATAGATCATCGCACAACCGTCCAGATTTATTCGATCGTGCATCAACCTTTCTCCTTGACCATGGAAAGTTGCACCTCCTGTGAGGGTGAAGTTATTGATGTATTGAATGGTGACTCAACATCCTTTATTAACATATGTTGATGGCCATGATAATGTCGCTCGAGTATTATGTAATTCATATTTAAAAACCCAAACGAAGAAATGACTTTTGCGATATTTTAAAGATATTTAATAACAAAAAAGTTTACCTAGTGCACACACGTCTCTCTTCTATTCTTTTAATAAGTGTTACACGACTGTTATAAACACTTAAATTATTAACAAGATTACTACTAATTATGCTGACATATGACCTTAATCTGTCTCAACTTCTTATCCATTGACCATTTTTCACTTTCTTCTTTATCACGCAATGAACAAACAAGCATGAGAGGAAGAACCCTGTTGGCTTTCTCTGATTGCTTCATGCCCCCACCATAATTGGAGTAAAATAAAATGTAAATTGCCCGTGCAAATATTATATTGCTGTAAAGTTTTTTAATGGCTAATAATGGAAATTTATTTGCTACAAAGAAACAGGAAAGTGTCAAAACTCAAAGAGAAGTTGTCTACAACTCCCTTCTATTTTCTGATATATAGCCAACCCCAGTTACAGCCTCTGTTTGTCCGCCTCTTAGCCATCACATGCATCATTTTCAGATTATCTTCTCAGAATAAACGGTCATAATATGGCTCATCTAGATTCTGATGATCGCAAGTCTCCTCTTCTTCCTAACCGTGATCCAATCCAGCGGTTACCAGGCCCTCAGCATTCCTTACTCAAATCCATTTTCACTCCCAACAATTTCTACGTTCTGTAAAATTATCAAATTACCAACACCCAACTCAGGCCTTCGTGGCAGCACCCAATGTAAAACCCCACAAGCATAGACACCATAACCTCTTATATGCAGAAGATGGAAATAAAATTGAAACATAAAGCGAAGATAATTAGGCAATTTCTTGATCTGTCTCCAAGAATTAGTTTTTAAACTAAAAACCTTAACTTCATACTCACTAAACCAGCCAATATTATCATCCTCATCTTGTTTAAACCGCACCATTCTAACCACTTTATAGTCATCATTTACATGGTCATAACCAAACCCAGAAAACACAAAACCTCGAATACAAGAGTCATTAGGAAGCTCAATAATCTCAACCGGTAACTTAAACAACTTCCTTGTCGAAGGGTTAAACAAAAGAAAATCCTGGTCAGAATTAGACAAAGCAAGCAAGCCATTGCATGAACCCAAAACTTCAGTCCCACCCCATATACTTTCTGGGTATTCACTGAAAGGGATAGCTTTATCCAGTGAATCAAGGTCCACAGTGTAAAGATGCAAACCTTTGAGGATCAAAATAAGATGAGATTTTGTTGAAAGGGAATGTTCAAGATGATGTTTGATGAAATCTGGACCGTCGATGAGGGAACAAAATGATTTAGAAAGTGCCCGGAAACGTAGGAGAGTTTTAACGGGTAAGAGATAAAAAGTGTCGATTAAAACATCAAGGGGAAACCTTGACATCTTTTTGGAGATTAGGGTTTTGATTTGTTAGAGGAAAGTTAATAAAAGAACAGTGTAGAAATAGAAATGAAAGAAGGAGGCGAAGACAGAGCAATGGCCGATCTGATAAGGTTAGTTAATAGGAAAAGGAACAGCATGCAATTATATAATTTATAAGTAAATAATATTTGGTGGGTTTTTGTTGCGTAAAAAGTGGGAAGCATATTAGGTTTGGGTCCATCTTAGCTTTTGGGTTGGTGCACAAAGTGGGCTTTTTAATTTATTTAGTTTTTCTATAGTGATTTTTTATTTGATTCAAATTAACAAATATAAAGGATTAAAAAATAATTTTATTAAACATATTTTTAAATTTAAATTATATCATCATAATAATAATTTAACTTAATTTTTTTTTAAATACTATTCAAAATAATAAAACAAACACACCTTAGTTTCTGGTCTCACAAGATGCTCTTTTTTATTTTATTTAGTTTTTCTAAAGTGATTTTTAGCCCCATCTCGTCTATTAGATTTCTTGAGATTTAGATTCATCCCGTTGTGTGACTACTTTCTTTATAACTTTAGTTATATATTTTCATCAGATAAAGAAATCTTTGGATAAAAATAATCTTTTTATACACTTATGATCAGATGACAAACTCTTTAACCACTAAGGTTAGCTATATCCATGAATATTGTGTTCGAGTCGCAAAAGAAATATCTATTACATTTGTACAATTATCTTGGACTATTGAACTTGGAAAGTGTTCTGCAGCCTTGAGAATTAGGTGGGTTCGGTTGACAATTGTGCTTGGATACATCAATTATTAAAAAAATAAAAAATTAGATTTGTGTTAAAAGATTAAAAAAGTTAAAAAATTTTTTATAGATATAAAAACAAAGTATAAGTGTATTTAAAAATTGTTGTGTGTTTTTATTAAGATTAAAAGTGTAACATTTAAAAGTAAGAGTTGAATTTTTTAAAGAATAATTTTGATTTATTAATAGAATGTGAGCTTTATTAGTTACCACCATTGGAGGATTAAGTAATGTCCAAGTGTTTAATTACATTAGGATATAATATTCTCACCTTGTTAAAAAAAAAAAAAAAAAAAAAAAGTAATAATGGGTGATTATGATTCATGACCAAACCGAAAGGAAGAATAAGTGACAAGGCACTACCTAGTGGACCAATATAACGGCAAGTCATTTAAGGCCTTAATTACCAACCGACGATAAGTGTTGGTCATTACATGTAGTGGACTTTTTGTGTAAATAAGGAACTTTGTTTTGGTGGCAAGAAGAGAGAGGAAAAGGAAAGGAGGCCACGAGAAATGGCTGATATGAGACAGGTGGCAGTGGCACCGTGGCAATCCACAGCCATAAGTTCATACCAAGACTGAGTTCGGTATTTTTCTATTTGGGCTTGCTAGGTTAGACCCATTTGATATTTTGGCTTTTGTTGGTTATGGGAAGTGGGCCTCATAATTTGGATTGATCTTTGGGCGGATCTACTGACACTTTACTAACAGACTAGAGAGAACCCCATTTTTTTAACAAGTTTTATAATAACTTTGGGTGTGTTTGATTTATTATTTTATATAGGATTTGGGGAATAATATTAGGTAGTTGGATAAGGAAGTATTACGAGATAAAATTTAAAAATTTTTAAAAAACCTCCTAGGTTTGCTAATTTAATTAAACACCCTAATATATACAAATTTTGTAAAATGACAAAAACACTCCCACCAGCCGCAGTGCTAGATTCTGACTACCACCATAGGAATCTGGCTAGAAAATTGTATTACAACACAGACCGGTCGGATTTGTGTCGTAACGCTCCTTTTCTGGCCAGATCCGTGGACGGCTGCAAAAGTCCATCGTTGGCCATCGCTGGCGGCCAGATTTGGCCTTTTCCGGCCAGATTGATGAATTATTGGCTAGTTTCGGTCGTGGTGTAAGCTGTTGTGACAGATTCCGGCTACCACTGATGGTGGTTGTCAGAATCTAGCAAGTATGGGTGGGTGAAGGTGTTTTTGCTAATTTTTAAACTTTTTTTGGGGTATTTATGAAATTAATACACTTAAGGGGTCTAAAAATAATTAAAAAATACAGTAATATTTCTCAAATAATGTGCCAAATAATATTTGGGGAATAGGATTGGAAATATGGAACCAAATACACCCTTTAATTTTTCAATTATTTACATATACTTTTGACACCCCATGATGGACTCATAAATTCTCTCTCTCTCTCTCTTTTTTTTTTTTTTTTTTGTTTTGTTTGGCTATTCACATCATTCTTCAAACGAATAAATAGATGAATGGAGGAAGAAGATTTGCTATAAGATCTATTAAGATACAAGCAATACAAAATTATAAGTTTTTGATATTTTACATATAAATTTATTATTATTTTTTCTTCAAAGTATTGGTAACTATATCAATCTATATATTTTTTGTATTGTCATATGGGGTATATATCAATCTATATATTTTTTGTATTGTCATATGGGGTATATAGCATAAGTGAAGAGAATGAAATGTTAACTTTTTTTAAATATTAAAAAAAAAATGAAACGACAGAAATTTATGAAAATCATGGGGTGCCACAAGAAAAAAGATTTAATTTTAGAACTTTGAAATATGGTGTCATGAGAAACGAGGTTTCTATAGTGCATAGGTTGAGCTCTATAATTCCACCTTTTTTTTTTTTTTTTCGTGATGATGACTGGATAATTAGGACATATGGACACCCAAATTCAAGAGCTCATAAAACTTTATTCTACGTTTTTACTATCAGGCCACCCTGTTGTGGTTAATAACTCAGCTCTTGATCTTTTATACTTTCTAGTTTTTGATCTTACGGGAGATTCCTGTTTCCATTTAATTAAGTAGCCGATCGAACCAACTTTGTGATTTCAGGGTTTGTTCTAATTTAATTGATTAAACGTAAACTTTTACTAATTTATTCAACCCAATACAATGACAATGAGTAGTTCAGAGATACTGACTAAAAAACAAGCTCGTAAAATAACAGAAAAACAAAGGAAGCTAGTTCATCATTGAGAATTTATTCACATGAATCAAGCTGAGGAAGTGTCGGCTTTAGAAATCTGCTGAATGTTTTTTTCACCTTCTAGTACACTCACAACTTCAGACATTGTAGGCCTCACAGCTGGTGACTGATCAACGCACATCATCGCCAAGTGTAGGATATCATGGGCTTGCTGCCAGTTATATGTAGACAATTTTTTATCCACCAAGTCCATAAGCCTCCCCTTTGCTTGTAAATAACAAGCCTGCAATATTTGTAAAACAAGTTAATGGAATTATTAGTTTAAGGCAAAGTCGTTTAATGTCTCCACTTGGAGAAGGACTTTGCTTACCTTATCCAGCAGAAAAACCGTCTCTTTGTTTGGTTCATACTTTGCATTATTCTCCCCGCTAACTATTTCAAGCACAACTATTCCATAACTATAAACATCAACTTTATCTGTTATGGCTTTCCGCATTGCATACTCTGGTGCCATTTATACCCTGGAACAAAGAAGTTATCATTTATATGATGATCAGCATGAACAAAATTGTTTGCTTAATTCCTTACTTACACTGTCCCTATTTCTTGGATGAAATTGTATGGATTTTCCTCGTCGTAAAGCTTTGCCAGTCCTAAGTCTGATACCTTAGCGTTAAGATTTCCATCAAGCAGAATATTACTGGCTTTCATATTTCTGTGAATAATTTGGCGATTTGGATTTTCTTCATGTAGATATTTCAAACCCTTCGCTATTCCGAGGGAGATGTTAACTCTTGTTTGCCAATCAAGTTGCAGTTTATTGGAATCTTGATCCTCTGCATACATATTATTCTCATGATTAAAGAAATTGCAGTAAAAACTTTATCGAGCTTATGAGGAAAAGAAACTTACCAAACAAGGCTTTTTCAAGTGAGCCTCTTTCCATGTATTCGTATATCAACAAGTTCAAGTCTTTTTTAGAATAGGCATCCAAAAGTTCGACAAGATTATCGTGTTTCAAGTTTTTCAGGGCATAAACTTCTGTTCCTACTTGATCAAGGTTTGATTGAAGAGAAAGCTTCTTGACTGCTACCGTTTGATCTGGCAGTTCAGCCTGCATATAAAAAAGATAATTATTCCCTAAACAAATGTTGCTTGTACATATATAAGGGAAGAACTCAAATACACAGTATATAATTAACCTTGTATACTATCCCAAATCGCCCCTGACCAATCTCATTCCTAGGGCTGAAATTTCGAGTTGCATCTTTAACTTGTTTAAGGGTATACCACTTGTCCCGAAGTTTCACGGACGTCACTAAACATGAAAGAACAACTTTTAGTTATCAACATCGAGACTTAATTTGTAGAAATTAACTCGAGTAAGAGATATATATATATATATATATTCTCACCGCGCAACTCTCTGTCTCCTATCCATCCAATTCTCCACATGAAAGCCAATAATAAAAGAGAGGCAGCTAATACAGAGCCAATTACAATCCCTATTATCTTGCTAGTAAAGGGGCCACTTTCTCCTCGGACTGGATACACAATGGCAAATTGCAACAAGAGCACCATCGTTAGCTAATATATATATAACTAGGATCAAATTTTGAGATTCTAATAGGAAAAGAAAAATGAAACTTTGGTTTTTTTACCACGAGTTACAATAATAGCAGAAATGAGAAGTCCACTAAGATAATTTGGGAGATATTGAGACCCTTTTCCAGCCCAGAAAAAATGGATCGTCAGTAGACTATCCTCATTTACAGTTGTCTTTAGAGATATGATTGATATGTTTGAAGCCATCGAATTTGTAGTGCTGAAATCCTTTTTTTCTCTCTTCCCCTATCCATCAAGAATTTCTTATGAGACCATATTTATATATAAATGAAAAGTGGTTAACGCAGATGCCTATAATTATAAAATTCTGAACTCGTAAAAAATGGAGTCATTCTCTATTATAAATGTGGCAACATGTTTTAAAAAACTTACTAATGTTGGCACACAATGATTACCTGAATGTAAATATCGAATATGCGTTTCCGCAAGTTGCTCTTATTTTTCCTTTTCAAAAAACCGATTTCAGAAAAGTGAAGTGTGACATTGTAGTCGCCCTTTTGTAAACAGAAGACATAGTATGTTAGAGACTGAGGGCAAAGGCGAGCAGTTTCATGTATGGTTTCCTCAGAAGGCGAAAGTCCACATGAAGCTTTCTTTACGTAGTCTCTATGATTGGCATCTGTAAACATGAATTCTCCAGTGCAAACATAAGCCCAGCGACGGTTTGAACTTACAAAAAAGTTGGATGTGTGATTATCAGCTTCATATTCATCCTCAGCTCCAGGTACTCTTGTAATACTACCACCACAGTTTATACGAAGGGAATCGTCTGCAGGTCATTATGTGAGCAGAAATTAAATAATTTTTCCTCAATATTAATCCACTTACATTAATGCTTGAACAATTAAACATACATTTGCGGTGTTTGTCTCCACAAAAAGCTTTACCCATCCTCGATATGGAACTCCTAGAAAACATGATGAAATTTTATTTAAGAATACTCTTCAATATATTCCATATTTCATTGACCTTCCTGAAAATTTTCTTTAATTATAAGTAAAGTCTTTTACTTTGAAAATAAACAAAGATTTTCCTGTAGTAGAGTTGTTTTGAAAATTTTTATGGCAAACGATTCTTAAGGTTTATGATGATTGTCTTAAAAATTATGGTTTTTCGAAAGCATAATTTTTCTCTATATTATTCTAATAGCAGAATACTTAAGTACAGAGATACCTGCTCGGTTCAGTACTGATTGATGAAGCAGCGACCACAACCGAAAAAAAAATAACACCGGTTATAAGAAAACAACTCTCCAATTAATATTTGAAGCACTATAAATTTAATTACTGGCCTATTTGATTTGTGATTCAAAAATAATTTTCAAAACTTGAAATACCATTCAAATGTTTGAGTTATATTTTAATATTTTTACTATGTGAAAATGTGTCTGGTATAAAATTTAAAAATTGTTTTTAGATTAAACGTTATAGAAAACTGTGAAAACAGTTTTTAATATTTTTTTCTAACTTTGCACCAGCTTTTAGGATTGTATTCAAAAACTGTTTTTGAAAACAATTCTACTTATTTTTACCAAACTTACTTTCATAAGATTTGTAGTATGTTTTGTTTTCAAAAGCAAAAAACTGTATTTAAATTTTATATTAAACAGGCCCAAGAATTTTAAAAAAGGAAAAATAAAATAAAATAATGCAACATGCTTACAAATCTGTCTCTGTCTTTGCCTTTGCTCTCACAATATCAATAGTCCTATTGTCTAACCTCCTGAAAGATGAAAAAAAAATCCATAAAATATGCATAATTCTCTGTATCTAAATAACAATAATGCTTGTTAGATCAATTGATCCGACTCAAATAAGGATATATTTGATCCAAATATAGCACTGTCCTTTAAATAATCAAAAGATACATTTAATAACTTATTGGTAGATATTTTCGGCCACAATTAATATCATTCCTAACTTATATAGGATTGATATTTGCATTGTAACTGAATTTAGTTTTTATCTTTTGGAGTAAGTTGATATTATTTTATGATGATTCATAATTTTCACTATTATCGAATTTAGTATTTATCATATTCACATAGGATGACCTAATTACTACAACTGCGTATATAACGGATAAACATTTATATCGTTTTGATTTACTATATGACAATTTCAGCTTAGAGATTTTGATTCACGGTATGACAAGCAATAAATAGCTTGCTATTAATTAAGTTCACAAAGAGAAGATAGAGATGGAAGTATCCTTACATATTCTTTGTCGGATTTGAAGGAAATATGGAAGTAGTATAATTATTGAACGAAAGATCCCTGCATGTGAAAACTAGCAACATTGTGGAAAATTGTCGATTCACCACATAAATTTTGACTTCCTCCAACGCAAGTAAAATAAGTAAAGCATTGTAAAATGCAAAAAGCGTTATTAAAGGAAAGTCAGATTTTTCTTAAATGAGTAAACGACATGCTCCCACCCACGGTTTAGTAAACTGGCAAGTTTTCACCTGTTTTCATAAATTTCAAAACTATTGAAGGAAACTTGCTATTTCGCTAAACCTTAGGAGAGAACATATCGTTTACTCTTCTTAAATATTGAAGGAAAGTCAGTTTCAGTAAGACGTATTATTATGAATGCAACTCTTCACTTGCGTGTCAATTTTTTTCCCTTAAAAAAGGACATAGTAAACGTAACCATGATGATGCTTATTATTATTTTTTTTTTTTTATAAAGCAATGAATTAGTATAATTCATGATAACATATACGTACGCTTTAAATCCGTATAATGAATTAGTATCTTAGAGAAGTTTTTTAAAAACTTTCTCGATAGATAGTTGCATGCAAGAGTATCTAGAAAGATAACTAAAGAAAAAGATGCCATCAACTTTTGCTTTAATTTAAGTGTGTCAAAATTCCAAAATATCTCATGGAAAACTTTATGTTTCTCCAAACTCGAATTAACTAATTCAAATAAAGATGCACTAAATATATTAATGTGGATTTTTTTTTATTTTTTATTTTTTTAAGCAAAGCAAAGCAATAATATGATTGAGACTAGTCAAAGCGCAAGAGAGTAGAAAAATCAAGAGGGTGCAATTAAAGGTAACTCACGCTAGTTCCATTTTCTTTAACCAGGAAAGGTTGACATTCCCACTAAGCATATTGCTTGTTAGAAACCTGAACAGAAAAAATCAGTCGTTTTCAGTCTTATTACAATTTATCAGCCAACCACTTAATTTTTTCTCTTTGTTTAAAAGAAAACAAGCTAGTGATGAGAAATGATTATTTTTTTCTCTTTGTTTAAAAGAAAACAAGCTAGTGATGAGAAATGATTATATTATCAATTGATGGAGATTAAACTATTAATTCATTCACGTACAGCTTATTCAACTTCAGATTCTCCATAGATTTTGGAATTCCACCCGTCAAGTTGTTAAAGCTCAAGTCTCTGCAAGACAAACCGCAAGAGTCATGAAACCTAAAATATATAAAGTCTTTAAGATACTGGTGTATCATGTCACTTGTAATGTCTATCCAATAAAATCTCACTTTATACAATGTTTTAAAGTTAATCAATCATGGTGGTTGTGAGATGATCAGATGAAGGGGAAAAAAATTAACTACGTACAATGGGTAATATAATACTTTATGATTAATGTGATACAATACGTCAACCTAAAACTTTTTCAATTTTGATATACAACAAATCAATTATTCTTGTAAACTCGATAATTAAAGAAATAAAACATTACTAACAAAATAAAAATAATAAGCGTACAGGTATGTTAATTCTGAACAGTTGCTGATGCTTTCCGGGATTGCGCGAATAATGGAGCAATTTCTGATTATTCTATGGGAACAATTTAAAGAAAGATATGTTATACAATATTATATATAATTAACTGCGAAATGTAATAAACAACTCACATTTTTTCTATATTTTTCAGGTTAATCAATTCTGGCATCTCGAAACTTGATCCTGTAATCTTAACGTCACTAACGTACCTGAGGAATAATTGACAAATCATTTATATATAAAGATTATCTTCTTTCTCCTTGAAGAAGTTTACAAATGAAATAAGTGGAACGCAGAAGCATATGGCAGTGGACTCACAAATAATGAAGCTCTGACAAATTAAAGATACCCAATGGTGGATTCTGATTTTCAAATTTATTTCCTAAGAGATCCCTGTTGCATGCATATGTAAAATTTATCACGGAAGTTTTTTTTTAAAAATGGGAACAGTTGGTTCTAGTCGCTTACAGATAATATAGTTGGTTCCATTGGGTAAAATATTCGGGAATTGGACCGGACAAGTTGTTTCCAGCTACCGCACTACATAGATTAATATTCAAGTTTTATGTTAGTGAGCAAACAGCAGGCCTTGAGTTTGATTACTACCTAATTGAAAAGAAAATTAAAGGGAGAGAGCACTTGCAATGATAGCAATCTTTTAAGATTGGCATACTTCTTTGGCAATTTCCCAGTTAAACGGTTGGATGCTACCCCCCTGCAGAAACAATTACAACTTACATATAGTCAAAAAATACTGTGAGATTTCTATCCGATCTATTTATTATTATTTTTTGGGTGTCCTTTTAAAACTTACAATGCTAAGAGATTCTCCAACTTTCAAGTGCGGTTTAAGTGTGCCATCAGTAGATTCTCCTGCAATACCTATTAAAATGAACCAAAAAAAAAAAAAAAAAAAATTAAAAAAAGAAAAAAAAAAAGAAAAAAAAAAAAAAAAAAAAAAAAAAGAAAGGTAAAATCGATTGTTATTTAAGGCCTTAAGCGAGCAAAGAGATTTCATACAAGTACTCAAGTTTACTCAAATTGCCCAATTCAGCAGGAATTTCACCGGTAAGTAAATTGATACTGAGATCCCTTCAAAAACAGGAAATTTTTTATAAATATCATGAATTGAGTAGGTGTATATGGACTTATAAATGTGATCAATCGCAGAAAGTTCTTCAAGTGATCATTGTGAAGATACTCACAAATACTTGAGAGACGTAAGTTGCCCTAAAGATGTTGGTATGTTCCCTTCAAGAAAGTTCCGGGCAAAAGCGCTGTTGAGGGAAACCAGAAAACAATGCCATATATTATTATTAATTTTTTTTTCATTGACTTTGCCTAGTTCTCTGTTTTGAGCCTACTGTACTTGTTTTGGTATTTTTAGATTTGTATTGAAATACTCTTCAATCCACTCAGTTTTCCTAGATTTTTGTGAAATTACACTTTAGACTTTCTCCCAAAACTTCAAATCCTGGCTGGGGCGTCCATCGGATATTAGGTATGTTTGCAATCTAATGATTTAGCGTCAATGATTAAATAGACACTAGTTCCTTCATATTTTGCTTGTATGGTAGCGGGCCATTCAATTGATTGGTCCCGAGGACACTGCTCATTACAGAAACCAAATCTATCATTAAGAAAGAATATTTCTTTGATCTGGAGCTAGAGAAAATTATGATATTTCTTGAGTTCCATATATACTGTAGTATCACTGACTTACATGTGTGTGAGGCTTGATAAATTATTCAGGGCAGGAGGAATGATACCAGAAATTTGGTTGTCAGATAGATGTCTGTTAAAAAAAAAAAAAAATAATAATGATAAAGAAAAAAAATTATCAAACAATATTATAAATATATATACTGTGGTTCAAAAAAAATTATCCCTGTCGACTTACAGTACTTGGAGCCCGGATAAATTACTCAGGTCAGCAGGAATGGTATCGGAAATTTGATTGCTGGATAGCCAACTGCTTAAAAACAAAAACAATATATATATACCTCAATCGATCGATACTTTAATTAGACACGGAAAAAATTAAGAAAAAAATTCTTAGAAAAGCTTTCAAGATTGAGGTGCTGGCAAATCAACTATTCTATGATGCATTTTCGTCCTCTTATAAGACATAAATATATATGTTCATCAGTTCAATATATAGCGCAACACTAACTCACATTTTTTGGAGCTTGGTTAAATTATTCAGGGTAGGAGGAATGGCACGATGAATTTGATTGTCGGATAGGTCACTGTTAAAAAGAAAAATACATATATATCAAACAAACATAGATCCTCTGGTCCTTCGACCATACATAGTGTTACATTACTACTTTTGCAGTTATCAATTTAACACATGAAAGATATAATTATGTCTTATATGATAAAATGGCATACACTAATTAAATTTAAGAATTTTTCTTTCAACTGAGCACAAGTGAGTATACATTTAAGAAATCTGTTGCTTTTTCAACCCCACCCAAAAGCTCAAATTAATGAATCCTCCTCCAAGGTTGGGTGAGGAAATATTTGATCTTAAGATATTCTGTTGCTTCTACGCAAGAGATAGAAACAGTATATAAATTAATTTAAGAAATCTCCTTGTTGTAACTTGTAAATATATGCACATATATGCACACGTTGCAGAAAGACAACGCAATGATACTTACAGAATTTCCAAGTATTTTAACTTAGATAATGCTTCTCCATCAATAAATCCAGCCAAGTTTGAGCTTTTAATAGTTCTGCCAGAAAAAATTAACATGCAAATGTATTAATTAATTGACAATTTGACAATAAATATTTCATACTCATTTATGCTAGCTCCAAACCTACATGTTGGTGACGTGACAAACATTGGTGGTACAGCTGCAATTGAATTCAGGACTAAAGCAAGTGACATTATTCGTCGGACTTTCTTGATTCGATCGATAGCCCAATTTGGACACCAATGTTTTCAAGGCTTCCGCTGATTCAACAATTAATAACGAAATCCTTTGTTAGATGTATAATAATTTCTCTCTTTTTTTTTTTTTTTCTTCTTTTATTCAGTTGATATATAATAATTAAACTTAAAATCTCATGTATCATTCATATATGATTATTACCTTCATCGGCTGGCAAACAAGTATCGTTATTGCAGGATAAATCCGTTAGAATTTCTCCTGGATTATAACGCAAGGTCACCAAAAGTATTAATTAGCAGAAGCTTATTAGAGAAATAAATTTCCTAAAAACTTAAAATAAAAGAACATAATAATTTAACCTGCTGACGATTCAGTAGTGACCATTTGAAGCCAACAACTTTGGAAAAGAAGAATAACGGTAAGTAAAGCAATGAGCTTAGAAAGGAAACTTCGAAAAAGTTCACCCATTTTTTTTTTAGTTATAGCAAACTGATCATATATGTGCTCTTCCACACGTCTTAATTTATAGTCTATGTAGGAAGTTCACTTGCAGAAGATTAAGTAATACGCCTCTCTGAAAAGAAGAGACAATAGACCAAAGCATATATTAGAAAAAGAATAAAATCTTAAAGATAATAAAAGCAAAAGGAATAGATTAAATATAATGTTCTTGCTTGATAAATCATGATACTCATCAAAGGTGAAGAAGCTGCAGGCTGCTTTGTTCCCTGTGTCTAGAGATAAAATGGGCATCAGCATCACTTAAAAAGAGAAAAGCACATATTATATTCTTTATTCCGTGAGATGGCTTTGGATGGCTAGATGTTCTAATTCTAAACGAAGAAATTTCGCTTTTTATTTTTGCTTTTCCTCAATGAAAAGCATCTTGATAGTTGATTTCACTGTTAAAAAGAACCGTTCATAACTTTAATTTTACGTCAGCTTAGATGACATCATATTTATTCCATGGACGCAGGGAACCATGAGGTGGGAATTTTCAACTAAAAAATAAAAAATTTAGTTGACATGTGGTAATAGATATATATTTTACACCATTTATTCAAAAGAAATATATTCTTTTCATGATACTTGCTGGTTGAGCTAAGAGAAAATTTGTAAGATTAGGTTGTAAGCCAATTTTTATCCCTATTCAAAAGAAATATATTCTTTTCACATAACTTAAAACGTGTATATTCTTTTAACAGAACTTAAAACTTATGATACCATTTCCTGCCAATAGTGAATATAGCTTTAGCCATGTTCGTTCTATCACGTTGTTATATTACTATTTCACAGTAGATTGAAGCTTGGTGCAACCAATAATTTGATGTTCATTCTATTAAGAGTTTATAATATCTATTTATTAATGAGCTAGATTCGTTATATTGTTTCTCATTTTCCTTTTTTTACTGAAAAGCTTAGGTTGTTTCCATTGACAAACATGTACCTAATTTAATAATTTGTTTCTCTTGGGTGCATGTTTGAGGTACTTTTAGGTCTAGTTTTGTTTTGTTTTTGTTTTTTTTGTAGGTAAGTAATATCATTAAAAGAGAGACAAAATGTACAGAGAGGCCATAAAAAAAGGAACCATCCTACCTTAGACATGCACTGAGATACGAATAAAAACACAAGTCTAATAGACTTAGAACCTAATCTTCTCTTGTTTGCCTATTTTAAGCGTGCGAAGGATAGGAGATAAGTGGAGAGGAGCTAGCAAGCAAAGGAACACAAAGACAAAAACATCTTATCATAGGACATGCCCTAATAGGATTAAAAAAAACCTAAATAAGACTAAGAACAATAATACACAACATCATTCTTACCTCAGGACAAGCCTTGGGTTAGGAAAACCCATGTTCGTCACACTGCTATCCTTAATATTATTATTAAGAATTGCATGGTCTTCTTAATTAGTTATGAAGAAACCATAAACAATAATATTCAACAAGAAGTCTTCCATTAGAAAGAAAAGAAGCGATGCAACTCTTCAGATATATTTTTTAACTGTTTTTAGCTAATCTCATCTTAAATAATGCTTTCAGAAAAAAAATATGACAAAAAAACATATATTGACGGGGAGCCTAGATAGTCTAGAGGCAAATGGCTGGGATATGTTTTCCTTTGATGATCGCTTTAACGTTTGAACAGAAAGATGTTGTTGGACTTGGTTCAGATCCCTTGTACACCAAGTTAATATCACCAATCTCGATATTTTGGCATGGATTATCTTTGCTACACAAAAGATTTGCTGCAACTTCGGAGGAGGAAGTGTCATGGATATTGTTGTATCTAACATTGCTGATCTTCACTCGCAAAGGCACCTATCTGAAAAAAAGAAAAAATATGAAGGTCTATTACGAAGTTAGCCAACTTTCTTGCTCTCAATGGAATTTATTCTGATAATTGTTTAGCCATTGACGAAATTGAATCCTAAGGATTGTTAAAAGGTAAAGTAAAACTAAGTAACTAAATCACGTGTTTAAATTTTTAACGATAACATGGGATGCCAGAATAGGCTCCATTTGTTTAAGTTTTTAGAATAGTACGTATTCTATTTTGAATATGATTTAATTACATAGGATAGGAATCTATGAATGTGTTTGGTATATTTTTAGAAAATATTTTCTGAAAATATTTAGATTATTTTTAACCCCTAACATTTTTTAATTTAACTAAACACCCCCATAATAAAAGTTTATAAATTAATAAAAACACCCCCACCCATCCAACTATTGTTGGTATGGCGCACAACTGGTTAGATCTGGCCGGTCGTGCACCGATTTAGCCTTTTCTGATTAGATCCACCATGGATCTAGTTGAAAACAGCTAGATCTACAACCAAATATCTAGCCAGATCTGGTTGTTGACGGCCAGATTTCTGGCCATTGTCTGACTCCACTCAATCGTGCACCATTTCGGCGGCTTTTGACCACCGTTCGATGGTGGTAGTCGGTTGTCGGCAACAGTTAGGTGGATGGGAGTGTTTTTGTTAATTTATAAACTTTTATTAAGAAAAGTAATTGTTAAATGTTTTGAGTTTATAAGATTAGATTTTGAATTGAATAATCAATATTAAAACAAATATGTATGGTTTGAAAAGTTAAATGAAGGAGAGAGGGGGGAGGGGGGCGCTGTAAAATATCAAACATATTGTTAACAAGACGACGTACCATGGGTACCTTGCACTTGGAATTTTTGTGGCAATCATTTTGTGCCCATACACTTTCTCCTTGACCATGGAAAGTTGCGCCTCCTGTGAGGTTGAAGTTATTGATGTATTGAATGGTGACTCAACATCCTTTATTAACTTATGTTGATGGAGCGGCAGGAGCATTGACAAGCCCTCTCACTTTAAATACGGATGGCTATGACAATATCGGCATCGCTCCAGTATTATCTAATTCATATTTAAAAAACATATACCCAAACGAAGAAATGACTTTTGCGATATTTTAAAGATTTTTAATAACAAAAAAAATAAATATAAATTTTTTTTCCTTTTAATAATATTTAATTTCATATCTAAAACTATTATTATTATTATTATTTAAAATGGATTTCTATAAAATAAAGTAAGTAAGGAGATTTAAACTTATAAACTGATCAAACTAGTTTGTAAGCTTTAAAATTAAACTGATATATTTGTTTATAATTTTTTTGAGTTTATAAACCAAAAAAAAAAAAAAAAAAAACTCTGTTTATAAACTAGTTTGACCAAGTATATTACCACGTTATCTTTGTTTAATTTTAAAATTCTATAGTATACACTTGTTTAATGTAGTACTATTTTCAGTCATTTTATAATAAAATATACTTATAATCCATATTTTACCAAACACATCAACTACTTATCAATTACTTATAAATACCTTAACTAAACACGTAATTACTTAAAATTTTAAATATTTATAATTAGCTTATAAACACTTGTTACTTATAAGCTAATTTTCATAACCACAGATAAACACCTATAAGTTGTTAGCTATTTGTGATTCACATGAATTATATTTTAAGTAATAATTAAAGTAAAATATTATTTCCGCATGCAATAATTATTTGGACAGATCGATGGCTATTTGTGTTTCACCTGGTTAATATTTTTTTTAAGGCTTTAGCAACAATGTTGTTGGTGGCTCACACGTTGATTGGATTTGACCCACCACATAATTGATAATTCTACGTGGAGCGAGAAGAGCCACATAAATTCAAAATAAAATGCATTGTCATAGCTTTCATGAGCCCACATTTGGGCCCATATTTTGCATTATTGCCTCCTTCTTCCATTGCTTTTACCTAGTCCACACACGTCTCTCTTATATTCTTTTGCCAAGTGTTACACGACTGTTCTAGACACTTCAATTATTAGCAAGATTACTAATAATTATGCTGACATGTAACCTTAATCTGTCTCAACTTCTTATCCATTGTCAATTTTTCACTTTCTTCTCTATCACGCAATTAAAAAACAAGCTTGAGAGGAAGAACCCTGTTGGCTTTCTCTGATTGCTTCATGCCCCCACCATTATTGGAGTAAAATAAAATGTAAATTGCCCATGCAAATATTTTATTGCTGTAAAGTTTTTTAATGGCTAATAATGGAAATTTATTTGCTACAAACAAACAGGAAAGTGTCAAAACTCAAAGAGAAGTTGTTTACAACTCCCTTCTAGTTTCTGATATATAGCCAACCCCAGTTATAGCCTGTGTTTTTCACCTCTTAGCCATCACATGCATCATTTTCAGATCATCTTCTCAGAATAAACGGTCATAATATGGCTCATCTAGATTCTGATGATCGCAAGTCTCCTCTTCTTCCTAACCGTGATCCAATCCAACGGTTACCAGGCTCTCAGCATTCCTTACTCAAATCCATTTTCACTCCCAACAGTTTCTACGTTCTGTTGGGTCCTCTGCTGTGCGGTGTTATATGTGTTTGTGTGAAGTTTGATGGGCCGGTGAGTAGCCGGAACATGTTGGGTGTGCTTGCTTGGGTGTTTTCATGGTGGCTGACTCAGGCTGTGCCCATGCCTGTCACCTCCATGTCTCCCCTGTTTCTGTTTCCCCTGTTTGGAATATCTTCTTCTGACAGTGTTGCTCACTCTTACATGAATGATGTCATTGCTCTTGTCCTTGGAAGCTTCATTCTTGCTCTTGCTGTTGAACAATATAATATTCACAGAAGATTGGCCTTAAATGTAAGTTCCCCTTATCTAAGTCTAACTAATTAATATATTATTTTGTAAATTCTTCACTTTTTCATGCCTAGAAGATTCCTTAAATCGTGCTTGGATCTCTTGAACTATTACAAAATTAACGTCTTGGCATCAAATCTTGCTAGCACAAAGTGGAACAGTTTGTTTTAGATCTGTAAATCTGAAATAGTGAAAACAATTATGACTTGTCATTGAATTGTTGGAATGTTTACGCAGATAGCATCGCTTTTCTGTGGAGAGCCACTGAACCCACCATTGCTGCTTCTCGGAATATGTGGCACCACGGCGT